TGTCATTCACGTATCACAACCTCGGTGCAGAATAATACAACAATCTCAAATACACGTCAATATGTCAACAACTTTTGAGAATGTTAGTGATCCTATTGACACTCCATTTGTTTGTATGTACACTTGGCTAATCGGAATAACTTGACCTGTTAAAATATGATTGGTTATTGAATATGCACTTTTATATCATGTAAATCGTGAATAGTTGCACATCTAACTATTGTAACCATGCTAGTTGTAAAGCAATTTTAGGAGAGAGAGAAAAAAAGCTACAAAATGATATTTTCTCGTAATGGTTGCCACCTGAATTCAATGCCTTATTTTAATCAAAATTAACAACAAAGCATTGAAAATGGACCCAAAGACAACAGCGAACTTGATGACACCGTCGTTGGAGAAGGTGTGCAAAGAAGACAGGGCACACGCGAATTGAAAAAATGCGATACTTATTCAAACTACCAAAGAAAGGAGACTTAAGTCAATGCAAAACCTGGCGCCGAATTATGCTCCTGTCCATCCCAAGCAAAATACTAGGCCGCATCATCCTGGAGAGAATCAAACAAGCCAACCTGGATGAAAAACTTCGACCGGAACAATCTGGATTCAGAAGAAACAAGTCATGTATTGATCAAATCGCCACACTACGGATCATCATTGTACAGAGCTTGGAATGACAGTCACCTCTCTCTGAACTTCATCGACTTTGAAAAGGCTTTCGATAGCGCAGCGTCGATCGAGAGGTGATTCGGCAACTACTTCGCTACTACGGGGTGCCATCGACAATTATACATCTCAACCATCAGTTGTACGACAATGCTGCATGCCAAGTAATCTAAAACAGGAAACTTACGGAAGCCTTCGAAGTGAAGATGGGAGTAAGACAAGCTGGCAGCCTACTATCGCCAATGATCTTTCTGATTGCAGTATATTGGATAATGCGACAGACAACGGGCGATGATGAAACAGGCATAAAATGGACTCACACAAAAAACTTGGAGTATCTGGAGTTCACCGATGATGTATGTCTGATTTCCCAAGAACTGGAAGATATGCAAGTGAAAAGCAACAAGTTGGCAGAAAAAGCATCAAAGATAAGACTTCAGGTGAATATAGATAAAACAGAGGTGATGAAGATTCCTGGCCAACACCAACAGCAACAACAGACAACAATCAGCCAGCATAAATGGGAGGAACCTGAAAGAAAAAACCTCCTTCACCTACCTGGGAAGCATCGTTTCAACTACAGGCGGAAGTGACGAAGATATCAAAGTCAGAATCGGAAAAGCAAGACAAGCTTTCATTACTCTCAAGTCTATGTGGAGGTCAACAACACTCACCATCAAAAATAAGATCCGGATTTTCAACTCCAATGTGAAGTCAGTGCTACTCTTTATACGGATAACAGACTTGGCGCGTCATAAAGAGCATCTCAAACAAACTACAGACCTTCATCAACAGTTGTCTTCGCTCAATACTCAGTATCAGATTGAATTGAGTACTGCTAGTCAAGAGAATTAATATCTGGATGACAACGTTTCGAGAACAGTTTATTGCCCACAATCAATCATATCAGCGCATTCACACGAATAACGAATAATGAGGAATTGAAAACCTCGATAATACTGACATATAAAGAAGGAAGGATGATTAGAAGTTATGGATAGGGGTTTTATCGAGGCTGGGAACTAGGGTGTCATTCGAGCCGATCAACTCATTCAAAGACAAACATTGTCGGCTTACGGACGCGATGAATCCAATTAAGCAAAGTGATATAACTTACCAAATACCACACAATGACTGTGAGGTCAATTACAATTGACAAACTAGTAGATTGGGGTCAATCGGGTTATTGGAAGATAGGAATTTGAGTAGAGCTAGAAGAATTATTGACCGTGGTAAGTTAAATACTGTAGTAAAAAAGCCTAGCCTTTGTTGGAATGAATTTATTTGCATGTAATCAGTCAGTCAATCAATTGATCAATAAAGTGGGACAGGATGAAAGCGTTAAGAAGCAGAAAAATGGTTTGGTGGAAGAATAGGTTAATCACTGAATCTTGGTTCATCGAATCAACACCGAACAAGTGGAATTGAATTTTCACAATATCCATAGTGGATGTATGGAAAATTGCAGTGAATAGGAAGGGGGGTGGAGAGAAAAGACATCTCAGGCGAATGATGATGAGGCGATGTGAATAAATTGATATGATTGTGAGTAATAAACTGTGCTTGAAGCGTAATCTAGTTATCAGTTCTGTGTCATTTTGTTTTATGTATGATACGCGGATATAAAGTCCATTTATATTCTACCACAATGCCTATTTTCCTTATTTTTTTTTTTTGATTTACAGCTTGATTCCACACTGTATTTTTGGTACAAGTATGGAATTTTCAGCATGGATATCGCCAGCCCAAATTTTGCAGGCCGACCATAGATATCAGGTGTGCGTCGGCGTGGGCTCGAACCCCGGACCATGTGCATGGTCGGCGAGAGTCCTAACCACTGTGCCACCGACGCACATAGATCATATTGTGATTTTTGTCGTCTGTCGTATCCTTGATAAATATCTTAGATTCATGAATAATTCCCATTCGAACATTAGTAGACAGAAGACAAGTAGTTCAGCGAAGAGTCTCTTTTCGGCGAATTCATTTTCATAGCTGTACAATCGCAAATATCTTAGAATAAGTGGATTCACACGCTTATCTGCGGAGTTACTTCTGTTAAGAAAACATGAATCCATTTGCACTGCTTAGTCGAAGTGTATAGGTTGTGTTTATAAATGGTAATGAAGCACTTATGTGGTGTTATTGGAAACTTGTGAATCTGAGCAACATACCCATGCTTTCCACTTTCAATTGGTAAATCGTGCAGTCATTTTGTGTTTTTACTCATGATTCTTTCGGTAAATAGATTATCTCAGTTTGCACTATCCTCCGATGTGAAAGTTAAATCATCATATTGTTTTACAAAATTCTACATTATCATTTCTTCAAGTATTGGTTTTTGTTTGATTAAATCCTCCATGCAATTATCATTTCTATCTGATGAAATGCATTCTGTGATGTAAACTTGCCTCTGTTGCGTCGTTATGGACAACATGCAAATAAGTTTTTTCAATATAGCGTTATCTTACTCACTAGTAGTGTATTCTAGTTTTTTTAAATTACCGTAATCTTCGGTGTTATATGTATCTCACCGTATCTGATATCTCTACTTCTTTTTTTGCTGAAGTTGGTTTTGTACTGCATCAAGTTACACTTTGTAAAAATGTTTAGTTTGCTTGAATATGGATATCAAGTTGATAGATATTAATGGTTTTATTGGTTCTTAATGAAATGACTGATTGACAAACTAACATAACACGTTACTACACACATATAGGAACACAAACAGATTCATAGGCCGACAGATAAATATGTTTCATATTGAAAGGATAAATGAGCGAAGATTAGTGCACCTTTTAAGCAAGAACTTCATACACATCTCCTATGATAGTGATTTTGAACCATTTCAGAAAAGATCTTCAACTACTGACTCTCCACATCTTCTGAATCCTAACCGAACAAGTCACACTTCCCTACACGACTCAGACAGTGTAGTTAACGACTTGGTGTATTGATGTCATGTTATCATTTGCCGCCTTGTTACTTTTTTGAAGTTAAGTATTATTTCATCTGAGAATACTGACTTAGAAAGGGTGATAGTTCATCATGGGTTGCATATGTTCTATACACTTCAGTAGATAAGGATTCATGACATAACTGAGTAACATGATGCCTTGGCTGAAAGTTGTTCACTCTTTTATTATCATAGAAATCCTCTACTTAATCACGATTATTCATTGAGTTATGTTAATAGTTCTATTTCAATGATGCATGTATATACTAGACTGAGTTTCAGTCACTTTAAGTACTTGTTTCCAATAAGTAAGCTTTCAGTGTATTGCTTTCACATATATATATTATTCATGCGCAGACTAATTCACTTTTAGATAAGAATGTATGGATGTGATGTTACTGTCACATATCACAAAGAAAACCCTCAATTTATTCATCTACCCAGTCTTTATGGAGTAATTTTGTGATTTCATTAAATTAATTCTAATGAATAATTTTTTGTACACGTATATTAAGTTAACGTGGGTCGGTGTTTCAGGAGTTGAATGCTTGCTAACCACTTACGTATCCGAGGTACTTCTTAATCTTACCTGGTTGATCGTAAACCCGGGAAAGAGGTAAGGCTGGCAATGTCATATCGTAAAAACAAAATCACTGCTAACGAAACTTCAGAGCTTGAACCCCTAAATTCAACTGAGAACGTAAAGGAGTAAAATAAATAATAACAGTGATCAATCAAGTATCTGTTACAATCCCACAACAAGTTGGTTGTGATTATGAATAACTCACTGGTAGTGTCTGTGACGTGGCCTCGAATTTTAGAGGGGACATGAGACCCTTCAGGCTCTTACAGCGACATCTTGTTGATAAGTCCCAACAAGCATGAAACCTAGATCCAAGGCTTCCTGTCGACTGAGCATCCACTTCACCTTATTATCATTATTATTTATTTATGATTCCTTTACATTCCCAGTGGAACATAGGGCTTCGAGCTAGAGGCTTGAAATTTCTGTAGCGGTGGTGTTTTGTATTTTTACAGGATGGGGTCGCTAGCCCCCTCGTGCCCAACCTTCCCTCTTTACCAGTCTTATTTCTGGCTTAGCAAGGTAAAGGAATGCGTCGGTGGCCAGGGATCGAACCCCGGACCACCTGCATGGTCGGTGAGCACTCTATCACTGTATCACCGACTCACCACTTCATCTGGATATTGTGAAATCCACTGGTTCCGAAATCCCACCTGTAGTTTCAAGAAATCCATTCACAGCAGCTTTTAATGATTATTTTATTGATTGTTTTGTATATGATATTTTGAATGCATAGTTTCTACTCATATTTTGTTATATGTTAAAGTTCTTTCCTTTATTCATTATTTCCCTGTTTAGATAATTGGGCTTTCTTATTCGCTCAACGTTTAGCACTGAAATTTGAGGTCCCACTGCATGTTGGTTTTTGTTTAGTTCCAAAAGTTCAAGCTCAAACACTACGACATTATACTTTTATGATTGAAGGGTTAAAAGAAATAGAACAGGTAAGGTAATCTATTTGTTATACCTGCTTTTTTTCCTTCTTAATTTTAATTTACAATTAAACCGTAAGAGTAGTGTATTCGCGCACTGAATAGTCTTAAGCATCTTGTACTTATATGGCTGTCATTTTGGTCAATTTTAAGTCTTATCATATCGAACGTGTGTATGCATACTGGCAGCCAGTGTTGATCATTGAATCTCTAAACTAGACATTTGACCTTGACTCAAATAAAAGGTCAGGACATTGGATTTATTATATTAGTGCCTACATGCTTATACAGTCAGAATATAGGTGTATAATTCAGCTGTAACTTCTCTTTATTTTGCATTCCCCATGGTGAAATAAACCTTTGTCATCTCAGTCAACCTTCTGTGCCTTTCTCATTGTGGGAATAATATTCAAGATATCAGCTGTGTGTCTTGTGTTGTGTGTTTAACACACACAGTAAATAAGAATGAACCTAACTAAGTTCAGTGCATTGTTGCAAGAGTTAATCAATCATCTTAATAAATAGACCATAGTATAAGAAATTTTTTTAAGTACATGGACAGGACAATATACACATTTGCATAGCTTTGTTCCTCTCCAGTGCTCAAGAAATTTTGTTAAGGAACTTCAGCTACAAGGTCAGAGTTATATGCTCATAAGACGTTATTGAAGATGCACTTAAGATTTTATATGACACCTTAATTGAAAAATAGCTATCCAGAAAAGAAAAGTTCATCATGAAACACATGAACAAGAAAATAAACACGAACTACTGTCTATGTGTAAATAAGAAACCTTTATATATAGGACTGCAATTAAAAGTTGATGCACCGAGTGAAATAAATACCAACAAGTTAAGGAAATCGATTCAAAGAATTTTTAATGCTGGTAAACTATGGGTCATATTTATCTACACGACTCGGTGTGATTTACCATCTGAAAAATGAACTACTTAAACTAGCTACCTCTTCTTGTATCTATATCAATTCAACGGAGCTTTCAGAGCGAGTTATAAAGGCTGTTACCCTGAGTACTTGATTTTTCGTGTTCCGGAACATCTACCAGTGGAGTGAAGTGAAAACCACCAACAGTTCAATATTAGATCATCTGGTCTAAACGGGCCATAAAGCTAGTATTGAAGAACCTTTCTCCATCATCTATGGGGTACTAAATAAATTACCAAACAGCAGAGGCTATTGCAATTCGCTTAAAAAACCTGTGCTTTGTGTTCAAAAGACTCTGGTCTAGTCATTATTGCTGCCCTGACCTGCTGTGGAATTTACAAACCCATAAATTCTGTATTACGTCGTCGGCCTTTAAGGCATGACCTTCCATTATGTATACATAAGTTTTCCTACCCCTTATTATAGCACATGTATAAACTAACCTCATAAACCAACTATTGAAAATTAATAATAATAAAGTTTTTTGTATTTCCAATGAATGAAAAACAAAACGATGTTGTTTTTACTGACATTTCGCTATTTAATGCTAATAGCTTTCTCAAAGTATTATTAAACCGGAATTTACAAAATCTCACCCCCTAACTCTTTGTTATATATATGCTGAGATTTTGTAAATTCCGGTTTAATAATACTTTGAGAAAGCTATTAGCATTAAATAGCGAAACGTCAGTAAAAACAACATCGTTTTCTTTTTCATTCATTGGGAAATACAAAAAACTTTATTATTATGAATATCATATACCCAATGCCCAAATTTTTTCAAACCGTTAAAAGTGAACTTTGGTTTGGACATATATATTGAAAATTAAGTCTAGTTAATAACTTAAAACCTGGAACACACACATAACCTTCTACCCTATTTTCTCTCCCTGTCCCTGAAATAGTTCTATGCTTCATAAATACGTATATCACGGAATATACACATTGGGTCATAGGAGTGATTAAGAAGAAGACAGTTGCAGTGAAGAAAATTTTCTTTTCGACGAAATCATCATCTAGGCTGTACATTCGTGTATTTATATCAAATGGATAGGAAAGTTCCAGAATAATTTCCGGTTAAGGGTCAAATTAATAAAAATTACTATTAGGAATTAGAATGCCATATTAAGCAGGGGGATGAATAAAACAAACAAAGTAGCATCATAATAACTAAGATGATTGACCTTGTGTAATAGGGGGTTAGAAATGTAGAAATAACAAAATAGACAGGATGTTTGCATAAAAAAACCTAGTGTGATGAATAATTGCTTATGCAATCAGGGATTAAATATGTAGAAATAGTAAAATGACAAAATAAGTGTTGAAATGAAAATATGGTAGTATAAACAGGGATTAAGAAAAACTTAAAGAATAACATGAATAAACAGGAAGTTTAGATAAGAAAGGCGATGGGATGGTCACTGCTGAAAAATTACCTGTTTATGATGGCCATGACAGCGATAGGGATTGGATGTATTTCTTTTGGATACAAAGCGTAGGTTTGAGCTTTTGGATAGCTAGCGCCTCGGCCATGCCCAGATGTCTTGATTTCACTCCCTTTGATAGGTTTGATTGAATCTTGTATATTACTTTGAAGGATTTTTGAAAGGCGCTGAATGTCCTAAATTGACTAGATGTTCTGTCACTGAACTGTATACGCGCTTTTGGTCTCCTTTTACTAACCAGGCTGGGTAGTGTTCACGAGCGCGTTCTTCAAGTCGATGCATGGTACGGCCGATGTACTCAGCTCCACAAGAGAAAGTAAATTGGTATATGCGCGTTGAGGTGGCCCAATGCGACAGCTTGTCTTTCGCGTTCTGGCTGAATAGTTTCTTGCAGTAAAACGTCAATCGTAGGCTCGCGGCGAAGTATGTTTTCCTCGGCGATTTGGAGAGGCGTTTACGAAGGATTTCTGCCTCAATATCACCTTTGAATTCTGGATTAAGCAGAAGTATTTTTTTGGAACGGATTGGACTGTTCGGAAGTTTTCTTAGATTTGAGATTCTTGTCTATGAACCTGGGCGGGAAACCGTTTTCCATCAGGGTTTTTCTAAGATTACTCAGTTCTTCTTCAACGAATTAATTAATTAATTAGTGGCTTAGTTAATGTAGTCTATATCTTGAGTAATTCACGTGGTATTCACTTACGGGTATGTTACACTGCTCGTTTTGTAAAAATCTCTACGTCTGACCCGAAGATAGGTCATTTACTGATTGCATCACATGTGTAAAGTAGTTTTAAGATATCGCTGATCAAGTGGTCCCCTATAGCTTTTGATTTCTTCTGCGGTATATCAGTTTTAATGGGAGAAAAAAGCAAATTTGGATTTATTTTCAGAGTACTAAGTGTTCTAAGGCTCCACGTATATAAGTGAATTGTGTTATTGGTCAGATTTCTTGAAATGCTTTCTCTAGTTGTGTATAACGCTCCACAAACACCAAACCATAGAAAACTGATACAACCGGTGATTCAGACGGATTCAGACTACTTCGAGTATGTGCAACACCTGATGTAGGAACGTTAGGAAGGCTGATGTATGTAGGAGATGAAAAGAGCCGCAAGTTCAACGAACTTAAACCAGAGTTGACAATGTGGAATATTGTAAAACACTTAGATTTTCGTAACAATCATTCTTGACACTTATATCAATAAGATTCGAGTGCTTATCTGACAGTTTTGCAGCACGACGAGCAGGAAAATGAAAGATGACAATGATATCATTCAGAGTGAAAGATGAATAACATTCGCAAGTAACAATTACGTAGTATGTTATGTATATTTCAAATACAAAAAGTAGTTTGTAACTTGTAGATTGGAGGGAGGATACATACATTTCTAAAACACCTGAAGTGATGCTACCTGAAGGTTGCTTAATTAACGCGGAACTCAAAAGAGCATACAGAATGATACCACAAGTTAAATGAAGTCCAGTGGGGCTTTTTTTTATTATCTCTTAAACCATAAGTAAATACACCTGCGCCTTTTAAGAAGAATTTTAAGACATCCTACTGTGCGTAGGTGGATGACACTATCACAGAGTTAAAAACAAAACATATCTCTACTTTCTTCACACATTAACTCAATGGTAAAGGGATTACAATCCACATTTGAATCAGAAAATGAACAAGGAGGATTAGCTATGTCAAATTGTAAAATAAAACGAACAGAATGTAAACTGCGTATCAGAGTTTTTAAAAAACCAACGTGTTCTAATAGATATTTAGACTTTAATTCATCTCATCCATTATCTGTGAAGGCAGGCTTAATTAAATGTCTAATAAACAGAGCAACAGCACTAAGCAGTACAACAAAAAACCTAAATGATGAAATAAAACAGATAGAAGAAGCGTTGTTGATGAATAGCTGTCCTATAAAATTCACTAAACAGATCGCAAAAGGTCACAATGAAAAGAAAAATAATACTAAAACCCTACGTAGGATTCTTAATAAAGCATGAATTGGGGTGGCATTTAAACCTACAAACTTACTCAGGGACAAGCTCTGTAGGTTAAACGACCCTGTTGACCCAATTAGACAAAATAATATCATTTACAAAATACCTTGCAATCAGTATGAGTTAAGCCAACTACATAGGTCAAACTAGTAGATCGGGGTAGTCAGATTGTCAAAACATAAGAATTTAGTTCGTAGAATCTACACCTCACCTCAATGTTACTCGTCATATTATATCACTTAACACACGGAGGGGAGCTCAACACACTTATGGTAAAAGACAGTCAACCCTTTGTGTATCTTCCACTTTCAATGGCCATGCCCGATAGCTATAAAAGAGGACAGTGTGAGCTGCTGCGCAGTACACGCGTCCTTTGATGGATAGCCGGATATCACATATACGCCAGAGACGAAGTTAGTTGGCAAATGTCACTAGCCTTTTATATTCGTGCTGAAATTTTGTCAGTAATCAGTCTACTCGGGTTGATGTAATTCCCTAAATGTACATGTTTGCCAAGTGTGTGAATATTTATCTCTCTGCAATTTCACTAACACTTTCATAAATCTGCTCATTACTGTGAATAACAAAGAAATAAGGTTAATATTTAAGGTTAC